AAAAAAAAAAAAAGGTACCTTATATAGAGGATCGCCAGTAACTTCATACCGCATTTGAGATCCAATAACAACTGGAATATGAGTGTTAGCATGAAATCCAGATATATCATCAGCCTACAAGTGAGAAAATATATAGCTAACAGAGTTAAACACAAAGGGCATGTTTGGCATGCAATAGAGAACAGGAAGTTTAGGATCTTATTGGCATAAGCCTCAATATGAAAAGAAAAACGAAGTCCACCTTCACAGCTAGCAATCCTAGAAAGCATGGTTTATCAAAAAGATGAGCCAATAACAAGTGCTTCTGATCCCCCTGCAAAGAAGGACAAAACTGGATTCTAGCTCAAATTGTATAACTTCGAGTACTAGGTTGCTGTAATTCAAGTATATATATTTTGAAAAACAGAAAGAAAAGAGAAAATTATGCATGAAAAATCCCAAATGAATGCCAAATTTCAGGTGTAATTTCCGTAATGATTCTCGGACATTTCCAGAGGTAAAATCAATAAACTTTGGTCTGGTAGTTCTATTGAATAAATAACTGAGTAGAAAAGATAAGGCATCTCTATAAATCAGTATTGCGCACCGTTATGCTGTGTAATTTGTAAAGAACATCGTTCATGCCTCCTGTTTCTTCATTTAGTGATAACCAGTGTCTTTCAAGTGTATATTTTGATATCACATTCTGTACACGGTTGTAGAAGTAATCAACCATCCATGTCGTCATTTTTAAAGCTTGAGCATTACCAGCCACAGTATACTGATCCACAAGACCTGCCAATATCTGTCAAAGCTTGAAAAAGTGAGCCTAAATATTACGTGCATTTTGCTATGCTGTATTGGACAAGACTAAACTAATGATGAGCAAGATTTTAGCTTATCTTTCTTTGTACCAAACATGCCAACATAACAATTCTGGATTAGGATTGAGGAGAAACATAAACAGTGTGTACCTTGTGAATTGTATAATACGGTGCCCAAACAGGTTTTATTGCTTCAAACCGGTCAAATTGCTCAGAGGGGAAAGCAGAAAGATACCCTGTTCCCATTTTCTCTTGACAAGAAGATAGAGCAGAAACGACTGCTGTCATCTGCTGTTTGAGGCTGTCATTATGAGTGCTAGCCCACATTTTTGCTGAAGCACTCATGTAATGCCCTTCAATATGTGAAGCCAAATCAATAACAGGAAAGTCATGAAATCAACTACACAAACAAAACCTCAGTTGCCAAAATAATGCTAAAATTATAGGATCAACCAGAAATTGGAAAAATTAAGTAAATCATAAATCAAGCTAAAATATATAAAATAGAGGGGTGTATCAATTATAGTTCTGAAGTCGTAAGGCAGTTACATTTCTTCTAAAATTCGTACCGTTCAAATTCAACACATGGACACAATTATTCAATTGTGCTATTTCATAGAGGGATAAGGCGAATCGTATTCATTTCAATCAATAGGCGCCATAACATGACAGGGCAGAGGATTTAAACTAACCTACAAAATGGCCCCGAAGTTCGGAACTTGGAGCCTCCCACCCACCATACGGCTCGCCAGGAGTCTCCAAACCGGCCGTCTTCCTGAAGCTCCAAACGAGACTATCAACATCCAACATCAGTAAATATTCTAAATTAGTTTGCTGGGCCTGTCCATACATTGAATTAGGATCCAACCTCACAGCATTCAATGAAACTTCTTTAAGCAGACCTTCAACCCCACCTGAATTCTTAATTGTCCTATACATCATTGCCCAATTGTATTCATCCTCCTTCAACCTCTTCCTCGGAAGCAAATTCGACCAGGCAGAATCGTCAGTAGGAGTCAAATGGTAATGTGAAAACATCTCCTTTTTCCATGTTTCATTACCAGATGACAACAATTCATATCTTACAGTGTGTGAAGACAAAATAGTTGGAATATTAGTACACTCCTTACCAAAAGAACATCCACATAACTGTAATAAAACTATCATCACCTTGAATAACACTAAAGACTTCATTTTTATCAACTGTATGAATCAAAATTCAAGAGAGAAGACACTTTTGATCATAAGAATATATCAACTCTTCCCCTTCATTGAATTTTCCATGTAGGAAAGAAGTGCAAATAAATCCCACTTATTTATAGCAATCCCATCAAACGAGATTAAGACAACTTAAAAAAAAAACTACCCAAAAGGTCTCGTGAAAGCAAAGAATGGTTTCTTGTACAATTTTAAGAGAAAAGAAAAATGAAATATTTGTGGGCGCCAGTTGTTGAGTAAAAGAAATAAAAATGCAAAGTAAAAAGAATAAGCAAAATGAGATAAACCCTTCACAGAGTTAAGTAAATGGAAGTGAAAAATTGCTTGTTTGGCTTAAAAATCAAGAAGCCCTTGAGTTCAAGTGCAAGGCAATGCACTGAACCTTAAATGTAGTTTAAGGTAAGAATGAAATGATTGATTGATAACTTAGAGCAAGTGATATTTGTACACAGAATATGAAAAAGATATTTATAGATTCTTCACAATAATTCTATACAAATGATAGCTAAATAATACACACAGACACTCACACAAATATATACTTATGCATTTTTATGTGTATAAACAGAGAGAATATGATATTGCCAAAGAAGAATCACGGGTGTGGTGTCATTATCTTTGGAGGGTTGTTCAGAATTGACTAATTCACAGCCAAGGTTTTTGGGAATGTGAGATTATAGAAAAAAGACATTCTCTCCGTGATTTTCAAATTCATTTTGTTCAGTAGAAAGTCTTGATTTTTTACGATAAAGAGGCTGGGAATCTTGGTTTCTGTTACCATTAATAGTACTATATTTCTTGGTTGTTTGGATATGTTAACCTAAGATGTTTATTTTCCAACCACCCGTGAGTCCGTGACATTGCATTTTCTGCCTTCTCACTCTCTCAAAATTTCATTTTGATAAATCAATCACGTATTTTCTTTTTGCAATCCACTCCACTAGTCGACAATAAATTCAAATAGATCTACATAGTTATGGAATCGGTTGACAGTATCGTCTTCCATTTTCTATTTTCTATTTATGTTGTATGATTTAATGAAGACTTGAGACCTGTACATTTTGTTAATAAAGGTGGACGTGTTCGTTCTTATGTCATGTTAAAGCGCGTCTTATGAAGAACTTGTCTTATCTGGCATGGGTATTCAATTCTAAGTGAGGAGAATTCAGGAGACTTCAATATTAGATGCACCTCTTTTGATTTTGATAAGAGTTTAAACATAAAGCATAAAAATCATGTAAGATTTTAAGCATGATAAAACTTGTGTTAATGAACATATAATTCAATTTAAAATTTCTTTTTAATGGGTTTAAGATATAAGATTATTATAAAAAGTCATATAAATAAAGACTTTGAGCGTGTTTGGGATGGCTATGCTAAAAAATAAGTGCCAAAAATGTGGATGATGTAGGATATAAAATAAAGATGGAATAAGTCATTTGTACAATGGATTTGTACAACATGCTTGACAATGGTGTAGGTGTCAAAAAAATGTTGATGAAAAAGATAAAGTATTTTTCAAGCTATTCAAGGATAACCTGTCACGTAGCATGTTGTCAAATTTGTTATAAAAATCATTGTACAACAAGCATGTGAACTACAAACAAAGATAACTATTTCAATAATGATAACTATGGATAGATGTAAAGAAAAATTGTTTGCACAATATTTATCTTAATTATTATTTCTAATAAATGAAACAGTAGTTATTATGGGCCGCAAAAAGTTTATCACCCCAAACATGCTTGATCAATCTTTTCTTTTGACTTGCTATTGGATTTTAATGACATGAGA